AAAATGGATGTAGAACCTGGGATACTGTGATTAGCAGTTACTGAAAGTAACACTAATTTTAGCACGTGGGGCAAATTAGGAGCTAGGTTTAAGAATAGTACAGAGTAAAGCATTCATTCCCATAAGGCAAAACATAGTATATAATTAAGATCAAGCATTTGTTACTCTAGGCTGTATCTGCCAGAAAGAAGCAGGCATCCTGGCAAGATTTTCTAACATGCATGACCTGTGTGTTGCCAATTACTGTCTATTTGGGCGATATGTATACAAGGTGCTGCCTAATCCGGGGAGTACAGCACAGAGATAAAACAGTGAATTCTGCTTTAAGCAATGTCTGTCATCTTTATCCCTAGGATTCTGACTACCACTATACTAAGAATGTGTAATGCTCTAAATGATTAAGTCTTTATTTAAAAAATTGGTGGAATTTTTCACTCTGTTTCTCAGTTGTGCATGACTGCTCCCCAGTTTGATATTCAGTTTGCCCTGCATGCATAGATCCCCCACTGTCATCACTGAAGACAGACACTGCTCTCAGAGCCACACAGCAAATCTAGTCTGTTTCCTTTATATGTGAAGGTCCCTAGAGCATGCAGAAAAGCAGAGGAAAGGCATACCATTGGGAGCTCAGAGCAGTACTGTATCCCATGAAATCTGAAGAATGCATCTCGCCAGAAAGTACAAGCATGTCAGATTTGCAGCCTAAAGCACTTGTTTTTCTAAGCAACACACTGATTTCTCAATATTGGGTTGAGCACCCGTTTACTGTAAAACTAAGGATATTATTCTTATCTTTAAAGAGAAGTAGGAGCCACTCATTTGTGAATCTCGCTCTATATACTTCAATACACAAATTAACAAAATTTTTTACAGCTTAGATTCATTTTAGAGAATTTTAATAAATGCTGGTAAAGAAAATCTTGACTGTTGCAAACAAGGCATAGTTTATTACACCAGTTCAGGGGATTCTTTTATATTATTCCGTAAGCCTATTTCAACAACAGAATAGTAATAAGAATTTGCAATGTATGGTTAGTTGTCTTCACTCTTAAAAATTTATACAGCTCTCTGTAGGCTATGTGATCTAAAATATTTCATGCAAAGAAGTAAAGAAAATGAAAAATCGATTCTTTTAAAAATAGAAGCTTGCTGCTTTTTCTTTATTTCTACTTAATGTTCACACATGTAAAACCTATCAGATCTTTAAATGGTATTACAAAAGTATGCACCTTAATTCATGGAATAAAAGTCTGTAGCAAATACCAAATTCATGAATAAAAGAAGCCCCTCTTAATCTGTCTGCCTCAGTGGCTGTGCTGCTGTTGGCTTAATGATTGCCTCTTCTACAGGGTACATATTATGAATAAGAAGCTCAATATAAGGTGCAGAAACACTAACCTCTCTTATACTTACCAACTAAATATCTCTAGATAAGGTCAGTCTCACGTATTTCAGTGTCTCTAGTAGCATTCTCACCACTCTCATCCATTAAAAACAAACCAATCAACCCTACCCTTCTATCCCTTTGATATTCAATGCAGTCACGCAGTCCTGCACTCTCTGTACCGTTGCTTACATTAGCAAGCCATGTTCAAGTGGCATTTTTAGATAATTACTAGTTCTGTTTCCTGTACCATAATAGAATATGGAGCTAAGTCTAGAGTTGTCTTTCATTCACACTGTCATGTCACAGTGATACATAATAGACTTTAAAAGAGGAAAAAGGAAGGAGCAGAGGAATGTGTCCCATTGCCAGTTCAGGTGCATGGTAACTATTTTAATTTCAATTTATCAGAAATATCAAGATCATTCTCCATCATTCTGAAAGTCCTACGAGACTTTTCGTAAAAGTAGTTCAGTATCTCATGTCTGTTCCAACTACTGTGTCTGTGTCCCTGCATGCAGTACCAGGACACTGGCTCAGCACTAGCTCTCACTGCACCTTCCTACAGGATCTGGCTCTTCTCTAGACATCTTCCCCCTTTTTTACTGACTTGTATGGTCCAAATCAGTCTTTGAGATTTGAAAATATTTTTCCAGGAAGTAGTATGGATTTAGGACACCAAGTGATTGCTTTGTTGTTTTTAAAACGCACACAAAAATGGGTTAATGGAAGCAGTCTAAAAGGTCTAAAAATATCCTGACTGATTTTTTCTTTTCCTTCTTTTTTTTTTCCTTTCATCCTGAATGTTGATAGGCCTTGTTTTCAGCCAAACCCCTCCTGTTTGCTATCCCAGATTATACTGGGTCATGTAAATTCACACAGTTTAAGGCAATACTACCTCGGGTGTCCCTGCCCAGTACTCTCAGGAAGAACAGATATAAGCACTCTCTCCACCTTTTTGCTACCAATGTCAGAGAGGTAAGGACAGCACACATACAGAGTATTAGTCAGAGACACCTCTTTTTATCATACTATCACCAAGGATAAAAGTAATGGCAAAGGAAGGCCCTTAAACATTTCCTACCTATAGGCTGCTTTGAATACATCTTAAGGGTTGTTGAGAGCATTAAAAGGATAGACGTTGCCAGAGAAAGGCAAGAGATGGAAGAGATTAAAAATGAAGAGGATGAAAAGGGCAGGGAACAGAGAGAAGGTGGCTCACCCTTACAATATCCACTCATCCATGTAACATGACAAAAGGAAGGCAGTAAGACAAATATTCAGCCCATTTATCTCTGTAATTGCCTGCATATCCATGCTGTTCTGCGGGAAACATGCACTGTTCTTTTGCACGTACACACACATACACAGCTCTGGACTATTTATAGAAACAGCACAGGTTTTAGTGAAAGCCAGTCAGGGTTTCTGAATTCCTTTTAGGAGGCTTCTTTCTGTATCCGCATCATTTCAAGAAGGGAAATCACTGGTTACTGTAACTGAACATCTATTCTTATGTGGTCTCTATCTGTACAAGAGAGCACAATCACTGAAATAAACATAGACGCTTACTGATACCTTCAAGGTGAAAAAGAAAAGTGTACTCTAACAGTATTAGCCATAGTAGATAGTTGTACTAAAAAAAACCCAAAGCAAATGAACCCAAATTTCCCACTGTTACTTGGAAGTGACGATCTGCATTAATTTTGTTAGTCACTGAAGTATTTCTCTTACTCACTTTCTTTCTTTCTTTGCTTTAAGAACAAAAGACAAAGCCTATTTCACATTTTAAGAAGGAGCACAAGTTATAAAGAGATTGCTGTGTCCTTGCAAAATAGATGGTGGGTGTAGCCCATCTTTAAGAAAGGTTAATTCAATAGAAGAACATGACACATGATTTATATATGACTGTGGAAACTGCGTTTGCTGTAATGACAAAAGCCAACTTTGAAGTGTTGCTCCAAACCCCGTATAGGGAAAAAAAAACCAAACAAATAAAACACATAGAAAACCTTATAACCACTGTCAAGATTCTCTGTTAGGGATAAGCTGTCTCAGGAGTACAAATGCATTATAAGTTTATGCACTTAAACTCAGATCTTTGAGTGCACAGTTGAAACACAGAAGCCACAAAAATAAGCTGCAAATAATTTTGGAATAGTAGTATCTATATAAGAAATGCTAAAAACTAAAAAATGTCTGAAAACTAATAATCATATGTTAATAAAGATGGGATATTTCTTTATTTTATTTGCTTTATAGAGTAGACTCATAGAATCATTTAGATTGGAAAAGAACCTTGAACCTCATACCATTGGCCTTGGCCCATTGACCCAGCCTGTCTAGATCCCTCAAGCAGATCAATGTTCCTACCCAACTTGGTGTTGCCCACAAACTTAAATGAGGGTGTCCCTGTTAAGGGACAAGGGTGTCCCTTGTCCATGTTGTTAAAGGTATTAAACAGAACTTCCCCCAATACTGAGCCCCAGGGAACACCGCTTTAAAGACTAGTAAACATCCATAAGTTGAAGACCAGTTACAGGTACTAAATACTTTCTTCTGAATGATGAATTTTCAATCTAGGGTGAGTCAGCAGTGATTAACGATACTTCATATTGGGATAATGTCAGCTGGGAAGTATATTTTCAGTATATTAATATTGATGAAAATACAGAATTGTTGCAAAGATGGCAATTGCAAAACTACCTAAGTCTTAACCTACTGTCTCATAATCCATCCCTAAAAATCAGCTTAGCTTCTAGGAACATAACACTTGTTCGCAAGACCCATATGGTGTTTTAGAACGCCCACAGTTGTGAACTCGACTTACAAGGGAGAAAGCAGTTGTTAAGGAAAGTCTTGTAACGATATACAATCTGTTTTAATATGGGTAGAGAGAAGAAGGGGCAGCAGAAACATACATAATCTAACACAAATACTCGATGGACACTTTCTGGGGCAGACTTTCATTCCTTTTGCCTTTCCCCAGGATAACATATCTATGCCAACATTACAGTACCATCTAGATGAGTTCAGTCGAGATCACTGTAGTTCACAGTCAGTGCATGTTCACTCTGGAACTCCCTCAAGGGTTGAAAGTCTAACAGCAAGTCAGGGAAATCACAGACAGAAAAAATGCCATTTCAGCACATGCCACTAAAATGCCTGAGCAACAAGAGGAGAAAATTGGGAAAATAAAACGAACTTCTTATGACAATAAAATTCCTGCTGAATTTTTTTTTTTTCCTGTGGTGGTGAGGCCATGCCTGTCTGACTTACTATTAACAAATAGATTAAGAACATGGGAAAGGCCATACCAGGTCAAATCAAATGTCCATCTAGCCTGGTATCTTCTTTCACATATAAGTTTCAGCATATAAAAGTTACATAGGAGATAGATACCATTTAATTTTATAAAATGCTTGCAAACTACTAGATACTCTAGAAAATATTCTTAAAGTCTCCTCAAACAGTCAATTGCTATTCTCATATAAGCTTTCCTAAGGAACATGGAAGAACCACCGACAGGGCACTTAGACTGCTTTGGTTTTCTAAAGTTGAAATTTTAAGAAAGCAGGTAAATTAATTACATATTTTTGTTTGTTCTGAGTTGTTTTTGTTAGTGATTCTAGGATTTGCATGAATCAAGATTGCAGAAAATGGTCTATAATTTTGATGAATTACTGATGTTTTTCCTGTCCAATTTCTCTCATCAGTGTTGCTAGTAACAATCCTTGTAGTGGAAGGGATTGCCGTTGCACAGAAGACACAAGGTACCGTTTTGGTTTGATGACTTTCTTTCAAAAAACATAACCGTTTTATAATTTTTAATTAAGCAATATAAGTGAAAGACAGTATTTGTGTTCAGGTATTAATAGCTCCCGAATTACCAATATAAATTTCATTATTTTTCCATTTCCTCCCTATTTACTGCATTTTTCCAACTGAATAAAGCCATCCAGTCACAAAGAGCATGGACGTTCACTTACTCAGTTAAAATTCTGTGGGTTTAGACCTTAGAGGTGGAAAAAAACCACCACGGAAATTCATGTTTTCTGTATCTGACAACGAGCTGTTCAAATAGTCCACCCACAAGCATTTTTGAAGCCTGCTGAGTGGGGAAGGCATCAGTTTCACAAACCTTATTTTCTCATATGTGGGATTAACCTACACATAGGAGAGAAGAATTCCTTGAACTGACACCTACAGAATTTCCTTGAAGAATTTCTGCAGGAGAGACTAAGTTTTCACCCCCATAAATCAAAAAGCTGCCAAGATACCAGTGGAAGGTGATGTAACGTACTGGAGGCAGCTAAGACCTCTATCAGCATGGACTCCCTCTCAAAGGTCTGCAAAGAAAAACTGCATAAATATAAATAACATTATAAGAGCATCCTGTGAGATTTAGGAAAAATCTAGCAGAAAGCACATATCCCGTGTGTTATTCTCTCCAGTTCTGCTGATACCAAGGAGAAGGATCAAAGGTACTTAAGAAGAATGTCAGAGGCATACTATTTCCCACTCCTTTCTTCTTGAATAAAGAAATCTGAATTAACAAAGGTCCTGCGAATAGTATAGCATGATCTCAGTCAAGGATCATATTTCTCTGTACACCCTGAAGAAGACCTCATCTTAAATGAGACCCTCAGCTACCAACGCAATCTACCTATCACTAGTAATTTTTCTAATACTATTGCTGTATTTAGTGTATTTACGTATTATAATTCATTCTGTTATAAGCATCCTGTATTCCAACAAATTGTTCTAAATAGATCTTCGATCTAAGGGCCATGTAGTTCAGTATACTCTGGAATCAGGGCCAAAAATAGTAAAAGCTAAAAAAATATTTTGGATTATATTTGCATAGGAATGGAGCAGACATACGCCATAAAATAATGCTGCTGTATTGGCAGCCACTGTGACTATTTGATGTAGAAAGAAGAGCATCAAAAAATCTGAACTGACTTGGGTAAAAAAAATTACTCCCTCTCTTCACTTCCCAAGGATTACTGGACATATTTGATATTCAAAAACTGTGATTTCTTTACTTAATTTAGTGATCTCACATCACTAAATTAAACATAAGATTTTCCTAGCTAGCTATTTTATAGCCATATAAGAGCATTTTCAACCAAAATAAATTACTTTCTTGTTTTACTTTTGCAAAATCAAATTTGCATGCTTGCAGGAGAAATTTATTTGATCGCTTTTTTTTTTTTTTTCTACCTAAGGTGGGCAAAACATTGGAGTGAATCGTTTTCCTCCTACCCAGTGTGACAACTGGGTACGGACAAGTAATGGAGGACACTTTGCTTCACCCAACTACCCTAACATGTACCCACCAAATCAAGAGTGCATCTATATCTTAGAAGGTACATGCAGTATTTCTCATTTGTTTTGTTATAATCTTACTGTTAAATGGATAACCTTGAACTGTTAAACCTGTGTCATTTTACTATACTGTCAAGTCTTGTATAGCCATACTAATAATATGATCAATTCTGTAGTCATTTGGTTGAACAAGAAGCTAACTTTGCTCTCTGAAGTAATAATAACAAATAAATACAAAATGCAAACATTCAGGAATCAGCCATACGGAATAAGACATACCCTCACAGCCAGAAATAGCAGCATAGGATCTACTGTAATCTATCAAGGCATGGAACTATTAAGATAAAAATTGTGGCTTGTTATCTTAATATCATTTCCAATATTGCTGATAATAAACTGCAAAAGATGGTGAAGACTATATTCTGTCAGTCTCACAAGCAGAAAATCTTTATGCTGTCCTTTATTAATAAAAAAAGACACATCTGACTGCTATAGCACTGTACTAAAACTATAGAGATTTCCTAATACTGCTGAGGTCACTGTTAAAATTATGTGATGAGCACAAAAAAATTTCATTAACCGGAATAAAGCCACATTCCAATGAGAATATCTTGGATAACGGCTGCAAGACTTGGGACACACTAATTATTTTTTCCTTCAACTCACTGAAGTCAGCTCAAGACGCCAGTCAGCTTAATCATCAGATTCCTATCAATTAATTGAAATATTTCAAGTAATATGTTTCAGTGAGTTTATATTTGTACAGTACTGGTTCGTCTGAAGTTCTGCATCGTCCCTGCCAGTGAAGGCGTTGCAGAGCAGATAACCTGGCCAGCTTCTGAGTTCAGACACACCACATCCATTGCTGGATCTCCCTTCCACAAGGCAGTTTCTGGGATGCAGAATCATTTTCCACGCCTCTGTTTTCACCATCCTTATACAGAAACATTATGAGTACCTGAGTGAGACAAAGGCCCTCCACAATTCCTAGCTAAGATGTGGTCCTTTCTGCAGACCACTGCCAATATGTGCAAACAGCTATGAATGTTTTTAACTCACGTATAAGGTGAGGCGTAACTTCTAAACAGAGCATTAAAGACATATAAGTAAATCGGGTTTGCATTCAGAAGAAGCAGACAGTATGAAATTCTTTAACACTGTCATTCCAGATACCAGTTAGTATCTGCAAGTTCATGTAGCTCAGTAGATGACAAGAACAAGAAACACTAAAGCTCTTCCTACAATATAAAGTCAGGGTCCCAAACTACAGCTTTGAAAGTCCAGTCACAAAGTAGCCATAGCTGCATCTCCTCAGGATTTAGGGGTCTGATCCAAATCCTGATGTGAGGCTGTCACTGGTTCAGACGTACCAACATCTGCACTCACCTGCATATTCATAATATATAGGAAGCATTTACACTTCTCTGAATATTTTAATAAAAGATGTCTCCTGCCGAAGGATCTGCAAATTTGGGAGTAGTTCTTCATGTCTTTTTCTTTTACATTCTTTTCTGCATCCCTCAATGTTTTGTCCTTTTTTATGTACACTGCTTTCACAGCACATCGGTTTTAATATATATATTACTAGTAAAACTTTTTTTAATACCTTTGCATATATGTTAATGTTACACATGCTGCATTAAATTTATGTCATTTTTGAACATTCAACAATAAAGATCAGCAAGCAAAAGAATTCCATGAAGAAGTACCTTCTATACAATCATTTTTTAAATTTTAATTACAGTGTGTCTGAGTTTTTGTAGCAGACTGCCGGATGTATTTTGAGAAGTTTCCAGTCTCTTTTATATCTTGCTGGTTTGAAGGCCTGTCTTTTCATTATTTTATGTCTTTGTGTGTTTTTTATATAGATCTTCATTTACTCTTTTGCTCAATTTTTTATGTCTAGCTGCTCCACGACAGAGAATTGAGCTGACCTTTGATGAACCTTATTACATAGAACCCTCATTTGAATGTCGGTTTGATCATCTGGAGGTTCGAGATGGACCTTTTGGTTTCTCCCCTCTCATTAATCGTTACTGTGGTCTCAAAAGTCCTGCGCTAATTAGATCAACAGGGAGATTCATGTGGATCAAGTTTACTTCTGACGAGGAGCTGGAAGGAAAGGGATTTCAAGCAAAGTACTCATTTATACCAGGTAAAGATGCCTAAAATTCTGACTGAGTTAATGACTGTCTGCTCCCATTGAACTCTGTGGATGTATTTATGGTGGCAGTCTGGAGCTCTATTTCCTAACTGCTTATGAAGGCAAGATGACAGTGTGCTAGTTACACTCTCAGTCTTGCTAATCCTACAGCGCACTTGACTAAAACCACTTTGGAAAATTGAGTGAAGGGAATTACAGGTCTATAGTTTGCTAATGAAGAAGCCTGTTGATCTTGTTCACGCTGAAGGCTTCAGCAGCTGCCCTCCTTGCTCCTCTAACTTGTACCAGTTTCACCAGTGGCAGTAATGGAAAGGGCATTTCTGTAGACAAATAGCTGGCGTTTTCAACAGCCTATCTTCTAGGAATTAAGACACTGACAAAAACACCTGAAGTAAATCTACAATAGCACTTCCAGCCAGATGCAAAACATTTTAAATCTCTATTTCAAAAAGCCAGAGGAAATATCTATACAGTCCAAGCATCAGCTCTCAGTATAACTAGAGTCCCTCAAAGCACAGGCTCAGACAACAGAATTGTGCTTTGCTCCAAGTACAGCGCACTTCCCAGGGTATGAAGCAGAGGATAATCTGCTGACAGTGCCTTTAGACAAACAAAAAGTACATCTGCTCTGTGGGGCCACTTAAAAATGGCAGGGCATTCTTTTGACAAGAAAATTTGACCTGACGTCCTTGTGCAATGCTTGACTGCTGTATTTCATAGATACTAAACATGTGCTTATCAGCATTTTATTGTCCTTCGGGACAAAAGACAGCATACAAATGTCAGCACTACTACTACTATAAATGTATACGCAGGCATAACTTTTTAATGTCATCTTTACCCCTAAAGCACATAAAAACACTACACATGATTATATATTACTGCTTATAGAACATTACCTTGCTAGAGATTTAGACTTAGAAAATTTTCAGATAAACACGGTGCCCAGTCCACTGGGAATAACGTGCTAAAATGTTTTCATAGGGAAAATACTTACGCATTTTGCTAAGTCCATTTCCAAAGCCCTTTCATTAACATCACTCTCAATACTAACTTAGCCTAGTTTCAGGTTGGAACTTTAAATATACATTTAAACTGTATATTATTTTCACAATAGATTGCAGCAACTGAAGGACTGATATTTTTTTTCCTTTTCTTTCCCCTACGTTTACATAAGAGTGTGTTAAAATATTTTAGGATTGTGAAAATGGAAGGGGACATGCACACACACCCCCACTTCATTAAAAAAAATCTGTCCACAAAGAAAGCTGAAAATCTCTTGCAGAATTTTGCATATAGTGATCATAGATTTAACTATAGGTAACTAAAACAAAGGAGGGCAAAGAAGGCATTTTCCCAACTGTACTGAGTCTTAAACTCAGGACTGAGTCGTTTTAGGGGAAGTGTAAGCCTTGGACATCCCAGCCCACTATAGACTCATTTTTAGCCAAGGCCTGGTCCCCATAAAGTCAAGCACCATCAGTTAACCATTATGAGAAAATACATTCTTAACTTGCTAGTAGCATGCATATAGTATACTACTTCAGTATACACTATGGATATATACGGATATATACACTACCTACACGTCACATTTAGAAGAGAGAAGAGCAATCACGGTGAAATTATGCCCTCATAAACAATGTCTAGAACTGTGCTACCTGGCCTAATAGAAGAGGCATGGGCACCCAAGGAAAAAAGTATCTTAAGTATCGAACTGTCCTTCTTTATATTCTTCATTAATAGCAGTTAGCAATTTCAAAGTGTTGATACATCCTACTAAACTGGTCAGAACCAGAAAGAGAGCGATCTGATAAAAACGATGCCGACAGAAAGATCCCCTGTACTCTTGGGGAGCTCCAGTAATTTCAGTGAAAATCGGGATAGTTAAATTCAGAACATAATGTAGGAACAAAATAGCGAATAGTAATTTTTGGTGTTATGCTGGAAATCTGAGCTGTCAGTATAGAATTACCTTATTCAGATAAGGTCAATCTTTGTGAAATAATGTTATCATCTAAAAAAAATTGTCTCTGTACCCTCCAAAACTTTCTTGCAATTTTTATTGTCACATAATAAAGAATGGACATAATCATCAGATTATATGAAACCTTGAAGTGATTGTCGAGCATTGATAGCCTTGTGATTCATGACTTTTTTCTATTACAGATCCTGACTTCACTTACCTAGGAGGTATTTTAAATCCCATCCCAGGTCTAGTATTACAGTAACAATTTCTTTATACATGGATTTTAAAATTAATATCATATTGCATTTGACAGAAAAATATATGTTCTCCCTAGACTGCCAATTTGAGCTCTCGGGAGCCGATGGAATAGTACGTTCCAGTCAAGTAGAACAAGAAGGAAAAACAAAACCGGGACAAGCAGTTGACTGCATATGGACAATTAAAGCTACTCCAAATGCTAAGGTCGGTTTCATTCATATCATTCAGCATATAATGGGTTTCCAAGTCATTAGTAACAGGTAATAGTCACTAGCAGTGATTTGCATAATGTCTCACTTTCACTGAAATGAATTATGTATTGGTGGTTTAGGAAATCCAGATAGAGAATTGTTTCTGAAATTAAACTTATACAGCAAGTCCACAGTGTTGTCTTCCTATTATTTGAAACTTAAAATACAAAATAACTGTGAAAACTGTTTAAGCAACGATTTTCAAGGGCATTTGACTTAGACTCTGGTTTCATTGGAAGACCACAGGCAAAAATGCTGGCTAACAACTATGATAAATTCCAGTAAATCTTACTGCCACGGTTTAAAATTTTGCCTCCACTGGTTCTGTTGGAGAATTTGGTTCTGTTCAAAGTCAGCAGAGCACGTACCTGCTCCTCCACAGTCTTAATTCACAATCCAGCACCTTAAAACCCACTTTCATCAGCAGTCTGAACTAAAATGAAAGGCTTTACCTGGAAACTGCTGAGGAATTATCACTCTTTCTCTTCTGACTTAGCTGTAGGATCACATGCTCTTAAAGCACCACAATAAAATTTGCTAGAGCTGGTCATCACCTTGGTAGAGCTTTTCTGCCCAAGCTCTAAAGGGCCATATTATGCTTGAGCCAAAAATCAGCATTAATTACCTAGGTACCTGAGATTTATGATTGTGCCTACAGAACTAGAGACTGGTTATGAAAACAGCACTATCTTATGCTGATGAAAACCAACTTGAGTTATCTTATTCATAATTCCAAAATACAATAGCAATAGCGTGTTAAAAAACCCAACAGCTATATGTTTCAGAATCATACACTTGTTAATTTCTTGTGACTTGCACTGCAGAGCACATATTTTTTTCTTCCATATAGCATACACATCTGTAATTTTGCTTCTGTATTAAAGCCATACCAGTGCTTGCATGTACATAAAAATTAAAAAAATATTTTTAAGCCATAGCTGCCAAGAAGACAAACCTACTGTGTTACACACTCCTAATAGTTAACTAACCAGCTCACCAACTTCCAAATTAGTTCTAAAACGGCAACCTAAAAGATTGTAATAAGAGGACAAGACAAGAAAGAAACTACAACTCCATTAATATATTTGAGCCTTTGAGGAAGTGACTCAACTCCCAAGAGCCCTATACTAGTCTAAGTAATAGTAGCAGTTCTTCCAGAAACCATAATAAAAGCATTTTCTCTATATATTGCCACTTGAGTGCACCAGGTCTTATGCTTAAGTATTTTAATAAATTATTGTATGTTTCCAGAAGGCAGAGTTATAGTTGGGTCAGTCCTGAGATTAGATCATCATTCTAAATTATTGAGTTAAAACATTAGAGAGAAATAATTCTTAGTATTCTTACAGTGGTTTCTCAAGCTTCAATTCTGGCAGAATTATGATGATAAAATCCATTCAATCTGATGTGGTGCAGTCTCTTGAGAAAAATAAGCATTTTTAATTTCTTCAATTTGATTTTGTAATAAAAATGAATTTTTAAAACTGACACAACTGTAGCAATAAAGGATGTTCAAAATCTGCATAACAGATATTTAATAAATTATCTCCAGATTTCAGAAAATTATTAGAATAGTCAATATAATCTAAGAGTGAAGACCCTTTATATTTACTTGCCTAACGCACTAATCAGAAGGAGCTTTTGCAGAGCTGAGCTCTTTTGATGGGATTATTCCTTTGTTTTCATACACAGAATAGCTCTACTAGAAGTGTGCTAATTTATTTTTAGCTTCCATCATAATTTCGCAGCAGACATATAAAGTCAATCATTAAATGAAAATACCATCTTTCAGCCCAAATACTAGCACTTACAGCTCACAGCCGTGTTTGTGAGATAAGACATCAATGGAAGACAGTGTAGCTGAGAATTTCTGGCAGTAAATCTAATAAAGACAGCAGGGAAAAAAAAAAAGGAAAAGCATATATACTGAAAATACCAAAACGGTGAGATGCAGCATGAGATAAGGCACAGGCTGCACCTTTTCACAGAATGTTCAAGAGGAGACAGGGCTGGAGCCTGCCTCTGGAAAACACTAGAAAGGAAGAGCCGGGGTGTACCAGCATCACGTCTTTTACTGTGTGTTCAATAGAGCCTGTTAAGTGTGCATGGGGCATATCTTTTTTTCCCCACCCATAAAGGTAGTTGGTTCTGTTTTAGTGAATTCTTTAAAATTCAGTTTTAAAAGGTTTTGGTACTAGCTGAGGTTAAAAATGAGATATGGGAAAAGGGCAAAAAAATAGGTACTAAGCAGTAGTAAGCGTTGTACTCACCTACTCTGTCTTCCCCACTTCACAGACTAAACAAGAGTTTGAGATGCTTCTCATTAGGCAGATGCAAGAAAATCCGCACGGTATGAAAGGTCTTTAGCACCCATAGTATAAGCCAGAGAGGTAACTGTAAACTGTACTCAAAAGGCATATGGTCTAGACCAAAGTTTTTTTGAGGAACATACTGAAGACCTCATGGACAGAGAAGAAGCACCTCTTCTCCCATTGAGGATACCTCAGCCTCCACATGGAGATTTGTTCTCTGTCAAAATAATGGTTATCTGAGGAATTGTTAAAGTTTAAATATTAACTTTGCAGCATACTTTGGTGATTTAGTTACATATCTCATCAACTTTCATGAGAATTTTGAGAATTCCAATAAAACCATTCAAGAGATTAAAAAGCCCTATGATCTTTTCATGTAATTCTAATTGAATTACCATCTTGCACAAGTTTCCTGCTCCAGCAAAATAAATTATTTGCATACTCTTCGAATGCCATTTTGGTCTTGTAATTTCCTTACTGCATATGTTCTACCACATACGCTGCCTGCTCTTGGATTAGACTTCTCCTTTTAGAGCAATATTTTTGAACTCTAAAAGTTAGATAGCCAGCTTACTTTTCTCCTGTTTCCATTTTATTCAAATGACTCCTGACTTCATGGTTTATGTCTTCCAAAACACAGCTCAGTAATTAGCTTTCATTCTGAAACAACAAATTTTAATTTCCTTATTTTACTTCAGAGCTTTTCTGACTAGACTCCTTCCCTTATATTTTAAGATTGTTTGCATGAATTTAAAAGAAAGAAAAGAGAACAGTCAAAATACCATTAAAATTCTTTCATCATATTTATGTGTTTCTTGTATCTCCTCTAGAATGATAGACTGCATCATTCAGCAAAGCTGCTTAGGGCTTTCTTCAGCAAGCGTGTTTGGTTTTACTTCTGTTTTCCAAGGTGACCGTAAATATATCAGAGTAAATTATTAGGTAAAGATTGTTTTGGGGAGGGAGGAGAAGTGAAACAGATACTTCAAGCAAATTTGAAGTAATGCACCACATTGACATTCAAAGAGAAAGTGTAAGTTTAAAAGTGTTATGAATTGGGAGTTGCACATCTGTGTAAGATGACAAAACCATCTTTTTCAGGATTTGCTAAGAAAACTGTCTTCTCTGTGTTACTTTTCCTAGAGACATGATTTTCTCTTTTCCAACAGATCTATTTGCGATTTCTCGACTATCAAATGGAACATTCAAATGAATGCAAAAGAAACTTTGTTGCTGTGTACGATGGAAGCAGTTCTATTGAAAACCTGAAGGCAAAGTTTTGCAGCACGGTAGCAAACGATGTCACACTGCAGACGGGGACGGGTGTGGTGCGGATGTGGGCAGATGAAGGCAGCAGACTAAGCCGATTCAGAATGCTCTTCACTTCATTTGTGGATCGTAAGTAGATTTTAAAGAGCCTGTTCTCCTGGTGTTAGGGTACTTCCAGGTGTTTTAGGAAAAGCATCAGCAATAAGAACAGACAAAAAAATGTTTTTCTTTCCTTCACGTACTAGCAGGTACATTAAATACTCGCTTTACTAGAGTTATAGGCATGATTTCTGAAGATAGATTTCCGCCATTCTTAAAAGGTTTATTTTATATTTGAATTCAGTAATAATACAGCCATAGGCTGTGTCCTTCTCACAGAGAATTCTACAAATGAGCACAGACTTACTTAAAAAGACAGCAATAGGACTGAAGTGTGCTCTCCCACTAGCCCCCATCTTCCAGTTCCCTGCCAGACACCAGAACAAGCTCTTCTCAAGCCCCCACTGGATGCTCAGAAGACTGGAAATCACACGTGACCCTGCAGTCTGGATCTTCTTCCTATCCACAGCCCCACCTTCAATTTTGGATATGGAACTATACCCACTCCAGCTACACCTCCTTCTCAGCCATGTGTGACTATAAAAGATCCCATACACACTCCCTTAGCAAAGCCCAGTTGTGCTGCACAACTGTGGATAAGCAGTTAAATTCAAATTTATTTAAGAAGGCAGAACTATAAAGGCAATCTGGATTTCTAGGCTTGGATTCCATAGCCCGGGTTAGAGATAGTCTTTATTCTCATTGTAAATTCAGGTGTTTCTTGAAAGCATACTTTTTGTGAGATTTCTCGCTGAACTTAATTTTGTTGCCTCAGCTATTTACGAAGGACAACATTGTCCACATTGCAGAACCTGAAAATAAATGGCATCTTCAGCACAGAAGTAGACTAAATTTAGAACTGCAGAGCAGATACATGGGGGAAGCTGAATAAGATACATCTGCCACTTCAGGAAATCAGACCTATCCTTGTACTAGAGGTTTTCAAAAAGTTCTGCTTGAAGAAAAAATAGTACAGATTTGCGGTCATAAAAATAACTTTTTTGACAGAACTAACAGACCAATAGCCAGTCCTGAAAGGTCTAGTCCTGGTCATCACCTTGCAAAAAAGTTCAGGTTACAGGTAACAAGTATATTTTACATTCTATTCCATAAACCAGTGAAGTTTAAGGAGAAAAGTTACTTTTGGTAAAACAATCTTTCTAAAGTAACAGAGACAAAAGAAATAGCTTACCACTTACTTTGCTTACATAGTAGTAAGAAACACTTGCATGTTTTAAACTAGTCTATTGTTTAACCTACGATGATCATTTAAAAACCTTTAGATATTATGAATTTCAGTAAATAGCAATTTTAAGCACAACTTGCTTGCAAAATTTGTAACTGCTTTTCCAGTAGCTTTTATTTCAGTACTGTTATTAATATTAGTGATAGTGCAAGTCATTCCAGCTTTCAATCTAGAAAGTGCTATGAACTTTGCCAGGGAAATTACCCACTTATAATATAAATAGTGAAGTGTTCTGCTGTTTGGGGTTTTTTTTTTGTTGAGTCTGGGTTTGGGGGAGTTGTGGGGGCTTTTTTTGAGTGCAAGAGATTGAAGCAGTAACTACTGCTAAAGCTAGATAACTTTCCAAGTTTCCAATTTTAAAGCAACTCAAAAGTCATTGGCAGAAGAAAATACACAAAGGTATGTGGTTGTTCTTATTTGTCTTCTAACTTGAGATACTGTCTTTCGTGGATAAGGTAATTCAAAAGTATTTATCTGGAAAACGTTTAAGGTATTTTTAAATAATCTAGTGATAAGCAATTTTTCTAACTGAAAAAAGTGAATCTGTGCTTATCTTATTTGAGATCGTTAAGCTATTTTTCGCTTCTCCCTTACTAATGATTTGTAATTATATGAAGCCAACCATGAAAACAATCAATATTTCTGAAGAGATTTACATAAATGAACTAATTGTGCATGGCAGTCACCTAACACACACCTAGTGCTGCTTGCAGATTTGACTAAGTAATTCAGCTGACAGCAATGTTAAAAATCAATGTATTTGATTTCTGGCTTGATTCAATACATGAGTCATACTAGATAAAAAGAACACTGCAAACATTGCACCAGTCTTAGGCAGCTGTTATGGGAAGAGTCCAGCCATGTCCTTGAAGTCCTGGACTGGAACCAATCAATCACTGTGACTTTTAGACTTTGTACTCCCCAAATAACCAACAAAAGGAAAATGAAGTCCATTGTCCTGTCTTTATGAACTTGTGAACAAAAGCCATCCCCAAAAAAATGTTAAAGAGACTACACAGAAATGTAAAATGGAGACTAGGCTGGAGGATAGAGAAGCAGCAGCAGAACGCATCGTCCAAAACTACAGAAACTTGAAAAAATTCCCCTGTTGAGGGAAATAAGAAAGAGAATGTGTCCTACATCATAATTCATCTGTGCCTCTGTAACAACTACAGTTCCATACAGATGAATATTGAAACACCAGCAGATATGCATGGATCCATGACAACCACCATGGACACAAGTTTCATAAATCCTGACCCTCAGCCTCTACACATATGTGGAGTTATTCCTCTGCAACCGCAGGACTTTGTGCTTCCCTTTGTTGAAACTTGTGAGGTTCCCGTCAACCTATTTCTCCAGCCTGTCTCAAATGGCAGCACAACTGTTTGGTCTATCAGCCACTCTCCTGGTTTTGTATCATCTACAAACGTGCTGAGGGTGCAGTCTGTCCCAACATCCAGGTCATTAATGAAAAGGTTAAACAGTGTTGGCTTTACTATTAACCCCTGGGGTACATCACTTTGTGCCTCTGATCACAACACTTTAAGCCTGGCAGTTCAGTCAGTTTTCAGTTCACTGTTCTCCCTTGTAGCCTGTCCTTCATCAGTTTCTCTATAGGGATATTATGAGATACAGTTTTGAAAGCCTTGCTAAAGTCTGGATGTACAACATCCACCACTCTCTCTTCATCCAAGCTAGTAATTTCCTCATAGAAGGCAATCAGGTTGGTCAAGCAAGATTTCCTCATCATAAATTCATGCTGACTACTCCCAATTACCTTCTTATCTCTAATATGTTTGAAAATGGTTTCCAGGATTATTTGTTCTATCACCTTCCCAGGCATCGAGGGAAGCTCCTGTCTGTCTTATTTAGTACTAGGCCCATATTTTCCTTGGCCTTCCTTTTGTTGCTGATACACTTTTTGTTGCTTTTCACATCCCTCACCACATCCAGGCTTTGTTTTTCCAAGCCCCATCCCTGCACAATCACTGTATTTGTATTCCTACCAGGCCATCTGACCCTGCTTGCACCTAACATGACATTTCATTCATAACTGATATAAGGATACGATCTATACCTTCCTAAGCATTTATCATATTTTAAAGAAGTATTCTTCAGACTAAATCTACTTTCTAAACAATTAATCTTCCTCGCTCAGCTGAGTAGAGAATTTCATGGGATAGTTACTATACTTTTTTAAACACTGAAATTGCATAGATAAATTATTCCAAAATACACTCTACATACATTCTGTATTATGTTAAAGTACTATAGCACTCGCACTACAATTAAAGTACAAACTTCCTACATGAAACTTCCTACATGAAACTTCCTACATGAAACTTCTTGCCAGGTTGACAGGAGTTAAGCAGTAACAGGAAGCTAATACAAAAGCTTAAAACCAACGAGCATAGGTTACCAAAATTCAGTGGAGTAAGAAATGGGAAAACAACGCATGTTAGATTTAGGGAATGCAAATTCAGAATTAAAGGTTTGAATTTTCATTTCTCTTAAGAAAATCTCTTAAGATTCCTCTTTTTGTCACTGAGACTCTGAAGTCTAACAGCAGGAGTAAGTGAGAAACACACTGTATTCCGGACTAGTCACCCTCCTCTGCTGTACCCTTTGTGTTTCACATTATGTTTTAGAGAATCCAGACTGCTCAAGAATAAATTCTTTCTATGTAACCAAATAGAAGAATATGTCTATCTCACATCTTTGCGTTTAATATATAACCGACTCCACTAATAATAGATATTTCTATCATAAAAATACATTACTGAGACAGAGAAAGGGAATATCAATTTCTTGTCCAGTGCCCTGAATTCATAAAGAATTCTTCATGCATATTATACAACAACCTGAAGAGAACTATTACTGTTTTTTAATATATTTTTCTAACGCAAAGGAGCTATAGCAAACGTTCATGGAAACATAAATTCTTTAGGGCAACTTTCTAGTTAATTTATTTATTCAAATTACTAACTATATATATATAGACAGATAGAAAAAAAGCTAAACTGTACTCTGACCTAATCCCTGCATTAGCTCTAATAGGAGGATCCAAGAGCTTTGATTCACAAGCAGGAATGACTTAGGTGCCTTCAGTTACTGAAATCTCTTGCAATTACTGAAGCAGTCTTCCACAAGCTCAAATCTGATTTGCCTTAAAATATTAATGGGCTCTAAAATGCAGATGTTCAGGAACTGCCTCACAACCAGCTATACCATCTACATAGCAGATGCACAGCAGACTGAATAAATATATAATTGATGGTGAGCATGCGATTTTTAAGTATTAACTTTTTAAGGACAAGTATTAAAGCCTTCTTCCATTATCTGTGTTGTGTGACTCTGTATCCGCTACCAATTTTGAGCAAGAATTATTATTATTTTTTTGTAGCATTGATAATACACCTGAAAGCAACGACATTGAGAGAGATTAAATCATCCGATAATTAGTGATGTGCAGGAAAAGTGAGGTTTTTTGAAATAGAGATAAAGAATTAGTATGCATGTTAAGAAAAGTAACAGGAATTTACTAGTTTATTGCAATGCATCAATTACTGAAAATTTCTAATGTTTCCTTTCTCTTCTCTCCTGCAGCTCCCTGCTCAGGCAACACTTACTTCTGCCATAGCAACATGTGCATCAATAATTCTTTAGTCTGCAATGGCATTCAGAATTGTGCATACCCTTGGGATGAAAATCACTGCAGAGGTGAATATAGTGCAATGTATAGCCTTTATGAGCTAGGCTGGTCAGTTTGCCTTTCAAGGAAGTAATGCAATGTCTGTTTCCTGGAAATATGCTGAAGACAGCTATTCCACTAATCTCAGGAAGCTGTTCCAATTTTTTTATTTAAACTCAGGAGACATGAAAGCATCCTGAATATTGATCTTACTGCTTATAATTACATTTCTTCCTCTTCAGCATATACTCTCTACTTTAAAAGATGTTAGCTTAAGAGGAAATAGAATTTAGTATTTGCCAGGTTGCATCCTATCCATTTTTAAACTTTCAACAAAGCAAGGATCATAGGGACAGGTAATACCATTTATTAGAGGAAAAACATAGGGCTGGAAAAAGACAGAGAAGCCTTCAAGCATGGAAAGAGTTTTTCAGGGCTGAAATAGAAGCAACAATCTTCAAAGACATACAATTTTAAAACATTTGTTGTTAAGCACGGCCTATCTCAGAGTAAATGCAGCTGCTGCACATGGTGTGAGAAAGGGTGGGGAGGAGGAGGAATTGTTAGGAAGCAAGAAGTCATCACTTATGGAAAACAGACACATGTAAATAACTGCTTCTAGACCATGGGGCAGGGGCGTATTTAAACCATCACACATACAGTAAAGACTTGTTTCAATATCAAGTTTTGTAGGAAAAATTCTAATGATTCGAGGAAATTGTTATTCTGATGAAGCACAAATATATTCATTTGTGCTTCAACAATAACTGAATTTTCAGAGTTGGGCCAAAACCAGCTTCAAGTCAACAATTTTTCTTGCTAAAAGACAACAATAAGACAACAAACTTGAGCTTGGAGGTTTTTGACAAACAGAATGGCACAAATAGGTCTGAAGACAAAGCTCCAGAAAGATTTAAATAGGTACTCCAATTCCAAGAGAAACTGACCCTGCATGAAGGGTCAAAACCTTCTCTAAAGAAAATCTTGAAATAAAATTACTTTGAGCAGTACTTGGGTACATAACACACATCCAGATTTAGGCTACTACATTTCCTTCTACATAGTCTGAAATGCTTTTCTCCCCCACTAGCAGATGTTGCAGAGTCCCTGTGTAAAATTCCTTTAGCCCCCTAGCACGAGTACGTTTACAGAATAGAAATTCAACTGGAAAATTTTAATCTTCAAATAAGAATTCCAAGTATGGCAAAGCATCTTGTTCTGATGCTGCCATCTTGTGTGTTTTCATATGAAGTACTAGCCAAAAGTGCCATATGATTTAGGCTGG